AAGAACCTGATTGGCTGTTCAAAATTAGAATTGTAAACATGCAAAACTATGTAGTCGAATGTAGGCGTGGTCGTAGACGTTTGTGGGAGTGGTCGATATACGAATTTTTGATGCGATTCCACAGTTCGGTGATTTTCGTAATAACTAAGACACAATAAGCGGAAAATCGAGTGTAGAATTCACACTGTATATAGTATAAAATATCTTGATTTTATCATCACACTTTGTTTGTCTTCGATAAACCACCGAAAATGACGAATGGCTAAGTAAACGCCTAGCAGCTCTCGGTCAAACGTATTGTAGCGTGTTTTTGCCCGCTGTAGCTTGCGAGAAAAGAAGCCGATGGAGAGGCACTCATGATCGATAAATTGTTCAAGGACGGCTCCCACAGCTAGATCTGAGGCATCAGATGTTATACTGGTTGGTGCATTATAAGGCGGATGAACCAACAGTGTTGCACTAGCTAGGGCGGATTTACAGAACTGGAATGCCTCCTCGCATTCTGGAGACCAAATAAAATTGGTAGAGGATAATAGTTTGTGCAAAGGATGTAGCCTGTGAAATTTCTTCTTGTCAACAGGTTGAGTGAAATTCTGCAACAGCTTGGATGCGGGATGAAAGAGGGGAAATCCCCTGGGCACTGACATGATGACCTAAGAATGATAACTGTGCACGGCCAAGCTCACACTTCTTAGGATTAATGACTAAGCCGTAATGCTCCAGTCGCTGAAAAAGCTGGCGCTAATGGTGGCGATGTTGATCAGGCGTGGTGCTGAAAACCAGGATGTCGTCAATGAATACAAACACAAATTCCAGGTCACGGCAGACTTATCCATGAATCGTTGGAATATCTGGGCCGCATTGCGCAGTCCATATGGCATACGTTTGAACTGAAGAAGGCCGAATTGTGTGACAGTGTAATGACTGCTGTTTTAGAGACATCCTCAGGAGCAACAGGAATTTGATGGTATGCACGAACCAGGTCAATCTTGGAGAAGATTTTACAACCAGCAAGGCGAGCAGAAAAATCCTGAACGTGAGGCACAGGGTAACGGTCTGGTTTAGTGGCTGCATTGAGAGCTCGTTAGTCACCACAGGAGCGCCAGTCACCGTTCGACTTTGGGACCATATGAAGTGGGAATGCCCAGTTATTTGATGATTTGCACACCGTGTGAGAAGACAACATCTGGTCAAACTCGGTTTTTGCAGCTGCGAATTTTTCAGGAGAAAGGCGTCCAGCCTTCGCAAAAGTGGGCGGTCCAGCCGCGATAATATGGTGCTGAACATTGTGGTTAACAGCTGGATCGGTGATGCGGAGTTTACAGACTGGCGGTCCAGCCGCGATAATATGGTGCTGAACATTGTGGTTAACAGCTGGATCGGTGATGCGGAGTTTACAGACTGCTGGAAACTCAGCAAAAATGGTATTGAACCCACGGAATAAATAAAACACATGCAACAAAGATTTCAAAATGGACAATTTTGATGCTATAAGCTAATATGAATTCAATATATTATTTTAAAGTTTGTTTTTAAACTGAGATTTAGAAAGACCCTT